TATATTTGGTTTTTCTTTATAAAAATTTTCTTTAAAATGCGAATGGAATGACTCACATGAATTGGTAGTTCGTAATAACGAAGACGGTGATTCTGATAAGTGGTGGAAATGTAGCATTTTCTGAAATGTTTTCTGTTAAATAGTCAGCATAATGATTCACTCTATTATCGTTAGGTATATTGCTCATAAAATCTTCAATAAAACACGAAGAAACTTCTTCTCTTCCTTCGGATTTTTATTAGGCTTAATCGATAGCTGATATAGATAGCCGATGCCAGAGTGTAGTCATTAACCGATAAGCGCAAAATGTGATCCTAGCTTGACTCTATCTTTATAAAACGGAACGTAATACTACAACAAAAATATTTGCTAAAATATTGGAGGATAATAGACATAACTTTAGTCGAAAATAATATGGAGGAAAATGGAAACCAACCTTTTATTTTTTTTGGAGGAAAACGGTATCTCGTTTTTGGAGGAAAATGGAACCACCCCGTCTAGTACCGCTAAAATTGATGGGGAAAAGGCACCGGAGAAAACGTCCAAATACCGTCCGGGACGATTTTGGGGGTAGGGTACAAATGCACTTTATCGATAAAGAAAATACTGTAATATTATTAACAGAGGTCGGATGTTTATGACTTGGCACATTTTTTTTTGCGCGGCCAGAATTACACCGGAGTGTGATATAAATTTGATTCATGAAGTCTATATTACAAATAGGAAAACTTTTTTTGCATATTTGACATTTTTGAGCATATAAATGCAAATAATGATCATTTTTAGATTTAGTGACATATTTATAATATTTTTAATATAATATAAGCGTAAAACTTTATACTGACGATTGACGGTTATAATTCGATGGAAGGTAAAAATCATATATTTATATGACTATGTATACAAGAATGTCGAAATCGCCTGTCGATGATTAATGATCATTAACTTACCGCCTATCGATAATAGCCTAATAGGTGGTAAGTATAACAGTTTAGATTGACTGCTTGCAGTAAACTCTGCATGGTGGGTTTTATCTACGTTTTCGACGAGTTTATATTTTGGTTGACATTAAATATTTTCAGTTTGTTGCAGTGTATGCTGTGTTTATTCAATTACACAATTTTTCTGATACGTATAGTAACTATCCACATTGTTAACTTTAAGTATGCACAGGCAAACTCTGTAGTCGTAGAGCTGTCATTTTCAGTTGACAAAAACACTGTCAGATCGTCGGAGGTCTTTCAAATTTGAAAATACACCCAAAATTCCAAAATCTTTATTATACAGTGTAATCTTGATATCAAAATTATTGTAACATCTATTTTAGTTTATACATGTATATTTATAGTATTTTTATATTATGAATTTTGCAATGAAGTTATTTTAAAATCATTTACAAAACAAAATTATTCTGAATTACTACCACAACATTTATGTTATTTGTTTAAAATAGATATAATATTTAGTATACATTTAATAGTGTTTTAAATTTATTTTGAATTAATATTAACACCTTTTTTGAGTACATTTGTTCGCAATATATTTGTTAAAAAATAGGTATATTTGATGTATTTAAAGGCATCATATATTTGCATATTTTAATGAAATGTTGGTCATTAATATCCGAGCTCTAACTATTAGTGTATAAACTTTGATCAGTATTCAGTCGTTACTAGCGACTTGCAAGTACCTAATTATATTATATAAGTAATGAATATTAAAAATGATAAATGTCCTTTACTAAAACAGTAAGACATATTAGTAACTACTCATGATTTATTCGTCATTTGACGTTGTACGTAATATATATTATATACTATAGCCCTATGCAGTGGCGGCTCGTGGTAGTTTGATATGGCCATGTTGGAGTGCAATAAAATTTTTATTAAAAATCAAAATGATACGATATGAGTAATATCAGTAATATCTGCTTTAGCTATTATCTTTAGACGTAAATATCGAACTCGTCGCGCTACAAATACAAAACCGGATTACCGGATTAAGAAGATATTTTTCTTCAAATATTAATATTTTGCAATACAATTCTGAATCTTTTAAATTATTTTGACATATAGACCATCGTGATTCCTATTTAGTCTACTATATTAGAAGTATAATTACGAATATATATTTATTTTAAAAATGTACTCGGGGAGTGCGGTCGCACCATCGCACTTTATCACGAGCCGCTACTGACCCTATGGAAGATACATTTCGACATGGTAGTATACGGCCTCGTTAGGGGGGGGGATAGTTTTTAGTTATTCTATTTTTATACTTACCTATTAATAATTTCAGCAGTTGGAAATTGGAATTTTTTTATTTGGACAAAATTTAATTTTTGAACATTACACAAAAGATTTCGATACATTTGTATAAATAGTTTATATCTATCGATATTTATAACCTGTATAATCTAGTGTATTGGTATTATAAGACTGAAGGGTTTGATCTCTGAAGACAGAAACAACTGGACCGCTTTAAATTAAAGTTATATCAATTATTGAATTATCAATAGATTCTAGATTCCTTGAGACTCGATGGGTGTTTTTATCTTCTTTTGTCAACCAGGAAATCGAATAATATTTTGTTCATATACATAATCATATGGGGTTGTCACTGCAGATAACAGAAAACAAATAGAATAGCGTGTGTTGCTATGGGATTAAAAAAAAATAAAATATAGGTTGAAGACTTAGGATTTACTTTTGATGAAAGTTTTATATATATCAGGAAAGTTTAGAGAGGACCATGTCCAAAATATTCCATGGGCAAGTGCTATATTAAATCCGACACAGATGAATTGTCTATCTCGATCGAATTAGTTCACAAAGTCGAGATACACTGATGTCAATTTGCCTGTCAACTGCAGAGATACACCTATAGGCTGATTGCCATATAGGCGTTTTCCATCAAGTTTCTTACTCCGCTCATTCCGCAGCGTTTTTCGTTGGGTGGGCTATACAAGAAGTTTTCTTTCGGGGTATTTTGTCTCGTTTTTTTAAGTTTTATATTTCAAATATATAGTATGTTCCATAATTTTATCTTGTGTATTACCAATAAACCCCATATCATACTTACTTTTATTTTACATTTGACAGCTGAAATCGTTATTCTTGAAATAACTACAAAAAAACTGTTCATATTTTTTTTGGATTGTTTGGTTACAGCATTAAATATATATTAAAATCCTTGTTATACATTTGCAATCCTTAGATATAAAAATTGAACATTTAATAAATGTTTGACTACAAAATAATTTGCAACTTTTCGAAATTTTAATTAATTTTGTGTTTGTCAACATTTGGACTTCAAATAATTATCGAAAAAAAATCGTACATATGTATTTTTTATATTTCTAAATCACTATTGTCACATTTTATGGGGAACCTTATATACATTTTCAAACATTTCAAAATTCTAACTCCAGGCGCTCATAAAACATTATTGTGCAGTTACTCTTGATTTTTTTTTAATTTCCATTGACAACTTATAAGGTACCTCGTATTAAACTTTCAAGTTTTTTGACCTAGTATAACATTTTTATCAACAATAATTAAAAAAAATATGATACAAATTTGAAATTTTTTATGACTATCAATATCTCAACAAATGTATGGAAAATGTTGTTACGAACATTGATAAAAATTGAATGTATCTACGGTTATTTTTTTTTAGTATTACTCCAAAAATAAAAATTATATTTGTCGAAAATAAAACAAACATTGACTTGACACATCATTGTAAATATCGCAAAGCTCAGATTCTAAAATTTACAAATTTCAAACGTAAAACATATAAAACCTTAACTATAACTTAAAAAACCATTTTTATTTATTAAAAATAAGCTAAAAAAAATGTTTAAAAACAGTAAAAATCCGGTTAACCTGGAAAAAATGATATGTCAAATAATATTCTAATATTGTAAGTAGGTACTCGTTATTAATATTATTATTTGAAATAGGGTCACAGTTTCCAACTAAGTTACTGAAAATGATAATATTGTATTACTAGTTATGTACCTACCATAGTATACTGTTACTAATTACTATCGACTATCGTCGACCTTTCGTCATCACACATCACTCATTGCTGTAAAATGTAACTATTTAATCTCAATAATGTAAATTAGTAATTATACATGTATACGCCTACATTGAATAAATTAAGTATTATTGTACCTATTATATGAGCATTCCATTTAATCTTTATAGTTTAGTATAACAGTTTACCTACGACAGTAATTATATGTACCTTCAACTATGGCCACCTCTTTATATAATAACATTTTTTTTCTGTGTATAGTCGTATTTTAAAAATATGTTGACTTGTTTCATTTTGTTTTTCTCTTAAAACCTACTTTATGGACACTCTTGCTTTTAACTACCTAGTGTATATCTGGACCATTTTTGTAATGATGTTTTCAGTGGACCCAGAAATTTACTTATAATAATAAATGCATATATTTTCATAGATTGTATATGTTAGATTTAAAAAAAAAGAAAACATTTCTGTAATTTAGTTGATACCTATAAGGGCGTATCACGTTTTTAGGTTTTCTCGAGAAAGTATTTATTATAATATATGATAATATGATACATCTCTATTCTCTATACACCGTTTGGTAAAACTGACAATACTTCACCTGTTGACTGTATTATGACCGAAATAATTATGATAGATATTTAAAATAAGCCTGATAGAACATTAAGGTAAACTAATATTACTTAGTTTCCAAATAAATATTGTTATAATTAATAGATATATACAAGAAATATATTAAACTGAAGTACCTCTTACCACAGAAGAATACTGCTATTACTTGCTTACTGATATTATTTGATTTAATTTCTTGTTCAGAATATCATCGTGAAGCATAATATTAATTACTAAATGCGTATTGTTCGTAGTAGGTACATTGCAGACTAATAGCTTAATTACGCTATATCCACAGATACTGCTTTCATGGACTAGCTTGTGGCTGACTTTTTAACTGCACAATTTGATTATTATAAATATTAAATATAAATAAAAGGTAATTCTGGGGGGTCTATCGCCCGTTTAATTACAACAGCTTGTACTACGTGCTTTAATCTAGCACAATAATACACATTTTTTTAGAATTGTTATACATTCATAAATTATAATTAATAACTTCTAGTACAGTTAATGGCCTTAAAAATTAAAATAATAAGCATTACTAACTTTGTTACACCTTGTTACACCTATAGTTAGATATTATTCGTTGTATGTACTACTGGCTACATTGAATTTCAAAATACAAATATTTAAAATGGGTATAATTTTATGAAATCTATAATAATGGCGTAATGCACATATACAATGAAAATCATATCAACAAAATTTAACTTTGAGTATTAATTAATCTAAATTTTTATTTTATTTCTTGTATTTATTTAAATGATAAATACTAAAACTAAGGAAAACCACTACAATACATACAGGTAGGTACCTGGTAATAAAAGTTAATATGAAAAAAAGGTCAACTACACAGTTCCATCATGAATCGTGATATTACAAAATGATAAAAATCTGAGTTCAATAGATAATATGAACATTGTTTATGAAAAAGTGATACTACTTGCAAGTTCACAGTTCAGATAATAGTTTTTTTAGTAATTTTTCTTGTTCGGCTAATTCCATCATGAGTTTCTGATGGTTCTCCAAATCGATTTTTCTTTGTTTTTCCTAAACAGTCAAATAATTTATTACATAAATTAAAGTAAATAAATCTCGCACGTTAATTAGAATATTTTTCTAACAAAGTAAAATATTATAATTTTGAGTACATAACAACTGAAAATTCCAAAATTTAACTGACTGATTGAGTGTCTGGTTTTTATCATAGAAGTGTGTAAACAAACAAGATAATACTTCATAACACGTTTAATTACAGATAAAAAACTTATTATTTGTCATAGGTTTGAGATAATGCATCTCGCCACATGTGTTGTATCCCTCTTATAAACGTTTAACATGGCAAATTGTACATTTTGAAAAATCGTTTTATTTTGCAATGATTAATATTGGAGCGAATTCACCAGATATTAAATTTAGGAGTAAGAATATTATCTAGTAATCCTCATCGGGGTTCGTTTACATTTTAATTTAAAAACAAGTTATGAGTATTTTTAATATATATTTTTATTTTTTACAATTTACAATTTTAAAATACTCATAACTTGTTTTTAAATTAAAATGTAAACGAACCCCGATGAGGATTACTAGATAATATTCTTACTTCTAAATTTGGTAATTGGTCAATTCGCTCCAATAGTAATCATATAATAGAGTTAAATCGATTATTCAGGACTTACAATTTGTTTGTAAGACGGAGTAGCACGCATGCTGCTGGGGCGTGCTCTTAATATTATGTAACAAATTAAAAGTTAAGAATATAGGTGTATAGAACATATCTGTGCATTATATTCACTGACCATGTGATATTGACATATTGTGATAGGTACATTGACAATAGATATAAATAATATAATATCGTTGTATTGTGTGTATGTATTCGATATTTTAGAATATTGAGCACTTACGATTAATTCCTTGCTGGACTTAATTTGGTCGTTTAGATCTTTTCTAAACTGCCATTTGTATTGTTTTTTATTTTCCCACTGTAGTTTTTCCTCTTTTAGGTAGTCTTCGTTTTCTTTTATCGATTGTTTAAACATTTCACGTTTCAATTCATTTTGTTCTTCTAAAAGCTTTCTACGTGCTTTTATTTGTTCCATTAAAGCATTATGACCCTCCTATAAGCATAAAAATAATTGTAATGCATACATAAGTACTTTAAATAAACTTAGAGTTTCACACCTTCATTCGCTTTCGTCGTGCTTCAGTATTTTCACGTTCAATAGATAATTTAAGCTCTTCAATTTCATTTATTTGTCTCATTACTGTTTTTGATACTTCATCACTTTGCCTTTTGCGTTCTTCTTTAATAATTGCTTGATGTTCTTTAAACAATTCGTTTTCACGTAACAACTGGAGCTGTAATATTTTTAAATGTTGTAAATTTGTGTTTTAAAAACAGAAACTGAAATTGTTGTGTAAACCTTTGCTTCGAGTGCGTCTGCTGAATCATCCTTTAAATTTTGTTTCATTGTGATTTTAAATGTTTCATCAAACATTGCTGTGGCCTCGTTCATTTTTGAAAACAAATTCGCTCTTTCTTTGGTGAATTGTGCTATTTCTTCTTTTGTCTGTAATTGTTTTTTTTTACGTTCCAATTTTTCTATAATAAAATTAACATTTGGTATGCAATTATAAGTTATATAAAATTATTCGTTTTCTTAAGGTGTTGATGAAAAAGTAAATATTCCAAAATATTTGTTTTTATTTCTATATTTAGTGAAAATATTCAAACTAAAATGTTTAATCAATATGAATTGAACGGTTATTCATTATAATAGGTACTTAATAATAATGATTATTAAATAGGTTCATGCTTACCAAATTTTTCTTCTTCATTCAACTTTTCATTCAACTTTTTAATGTTCTTGCATTCGATCGCTTTTAACTCTTTTTGCTGTTCTAGTATTGCTTCTTTTTGTACTACTTGTTCAAACAATTCTTTTCGAAACTGCAGTTTTTTCTCCAAAAGCTTACGCTTATTTTCTTCTCTTTCAAGACTCTAGATAAAATAATAGATTTCATGCTGTAATAGTATTTAAGACGTTAAACAGACATTTGTTGTCTTTGTCTTACAAGTGCGCAACATACCAAATTGTACGCTCTGCAGATCACGTTTACTTCCTTAATTTTAAAAATTAGAGTGAATTGACCTTTTACAGAATGTAAAGGTAACGTTACTATCGAAAGCATTTCATGAGCTTTTTATTATATTTTAATTTTAAAGCGAGTCATGAGTATTTTAAGATGTACAAACATTTTTCAATTTTTCTAAGTTACGTGCTTGTGTCTGTCTAGCGTCCACTCAATAAATTTCAGTTATCTTTAGTTGTACCTACTGTAACAATTTTATAATACCATTGAAACAATTATAAACCGAAATTATACATCACAATAGACAAATCTTTCAGTTTCGTACCAGGTATATAAACCAGCTAATATAAACAATGTAGCCAATAAAAAAAAAATAATTAAACCTAAAACCAATTTATTAGTTTCTACAAATAAAAGAGAGCATAGAGCTTACGATTTAACCGTAAAATATACAAAAAATTATTTGGGAAATTTTTTGTTGATTATCTAGGTCCAACTTACTTTAACCCAATGCCTACTGTGTACAAAACAAATATTTGATCTGGTTTAATCAATGAGAAAAATTGGTTTATAAATGGTTGTTTTTAGATTTAGGTATAATATTATAATTTATAAGTATACATGTATTTGCATTAATACAATTTTGCATTCTGTATATTAATTTGATATAAAGTATCTGAATTATTTAAATATAATTTATTGTAAATATTAAATACCTATAACTTGATAATTTTCCATTAAAATACTGATCGTAATACATAAACGTTTATGAATGTATGTAATATATATTATTATTTATTTATAATAATTAATATCAAACAATAGGCTATAACCATATTGTTAATTTAACTTTTAAAAATTTACTCTACCAACAGGCAATATCACATCACATAAAAAATATTGGATTTACCTGATTTTTAAATAATTCTGCATTTTCAATATTAGCCAATTCTCTCATTTTAATTTTTTGTTCTTTATTGGATTTTTCATTTTCTTGAATAATTGTATAGTTTATATGAGCTATATCATTTTTACGTTTAGTCATTGCAGCGAATCTCAATTCTTCAGAGTTTTGTCTAAAAAATAATGTACAATATAATATAATAGTTTTTAATAAATTATTTGTTTTATTTTATGCTTACATGAACATCTGTAAACGTTTTTCTTCCACTAATTTACGTTCTTCCTCGTCAATTCTTTTTTTAATTTCTTTTGCCTTTTCTATTAAATCTTCTTGGACAATTTTTGGTTTTTCTGGTTCCTCTTCTAATTTTAATTCTGGCCTAGTATACAATATGACTGGTAAGAATTGTTAAAGTATTATTTAAGTTGAAAACAGATGTTCATACTTTGGAGGTTCTTCTATAAATAAATGTTCGTTAGCTTTCATTCCACATTCAACCATTCTTTTTATTTGATTGTATAAACACTTTTTATCTGCCACGTCAATCATTTCCTTATGCTGAGCTTCTCTTAATATACTTTTAAAATCATTTTCATTTTGTATTCTTAACCTTTCTGTGCGCATTCGTTCTATGTCACGAAGTCGAATTTTGTAATCATTTCCCGGTTGTTTAGCTAACTAATGTTTATAAATATCTATCAAAATAGTGTTATAATATCATATTTTCAATTAAAGAAGTATTGATATACTTACAAACCCGTACGTATATGGTTGAGGTCCTCTAAATGGCGTAGATATAGAAATACCTGCTTTAGTCGGTGGTACGGGTTTCATAGGTTTACCGCCGTAAATCATTTTAATAAAATATTAATAAGGTTTTAATTAACAATAATATCTAATAAACTAAGATATAAATTTAAATTCTTATTTTATACTTATGAAGTAAAATTCCAATTGTTTGTTAGATATATGAACTGTTACCATAGCTAGATAACAATAAGACCCCTGCATGTTTCGTCACGCAAATACGTATGTACCGTGCGTTAACTTCAAAACACCCCTTTGGCACAGCTAGTTGTCTGAGTCAATAAAAGCTTTAGTTTAGTATCAATATTACGTAGTATTATCATTTTAAAAAGGTATATACTTTTATATTTTAATGTATGAATCTTAAAAAACGTTCTATTACCAACAACTTTAATATTAAAGAAAAAAGGTTTAGACCGAGTTTAAGATTCTTTGTGTTAAATTTGTTTGCATTATACATTTATTTAAGGCATCACCATTATTCGTGTCTGCGTTTGGTTAAATTGTCAAATTACGTATTCAGCCTGTTTTTTTTTTTAAATATAGACATTTTTATTTCTATTGATTCATTTTGAATAATTTTAGTAATCATCGGCGTCTGGAACAGCGGGCACAGTGTGTCGTCATGTATATCTGGCACGTAGTGTGCCCCTTGGGGCACAAGCACAACACGACAGACATCAGATTCAGAGATATCAGACTTTCCAGGGTGTTGCAGATCTGCAAGAACACGATAAACCCATCGGCCGTCAGCCTAGTCAAGACCTTCGATGTACATCGAAGTTGATTGGGTGCCACTATTTTAAAATTTAAAGTATTTGAAATATAGTTGTCTTACACACAAACAAAAACGTGTTGAGACTGTTGGGTCTATTATTCAAACCAACCCACCTACACCGGGAATTGTACGTCAGGGGGCGTCGAGACGATACTGGTATAAAAAATTCATAAGCACGATTTTTTTTATAAGTATTTTAAATTCAAATGTTGTCAAAATTATGAACACTTGCAAATGATTTTAACGTTAAAGCTTATAAAATGTTCAATTTCTATAGCTAAGCTAATATAAGGTCCCCCATTGGTTCCTTACTGAAGCCTAAAAATCTAAAAAATATATAAACACAATTGTTTATTATATTATTATTATTATAGACATTTGAACTTCAACTTTGGACGATATTAGATACTTACCTATTCAAACAGAGAATAGCAATTTTAGTTATTTCGTTGTAATTAAAAAATATTATTCGTGGAGACTTGAAACGCATACATATCATATTATTATATTTGATGTAAGCAATGACTTCAAAGTATTTCGATTAATTTTAAGCTATATAGTTATAGACTAGTAGACTGCTGACATATTCACACCGTTGAACTGTAGTAGGTCGATATTAATTCAAAAGTTAATAAAAATATGAAGAATATGTTATACATATTATACAATATTACAATAATTAGTGTATGTATAATATAGTAAATGCAATGTTTTCGGCAATAATTAATTCAACCTACAGCATACTAGTTGTAAAATAAAGTGCTATCTGTAGGTAGTAAGTAATAACTAATAACTAATACCAATACCAATATAAATAACTAATACCAATATAAATAGGTACATAATATATCATATTAACACATACTTAGTTATTACTTATAAGGCTAACAGCCGGTTTTCCCTCAATATAATTTTTAGTATGCAATAAAAGATAAAGATAAACCTTTATTCATAACAAACAAAATAAAATACAAAAATGATTAACTGAACTTAACAGTTAAGATACATCTATCTTAAAGAGCTGCAGTTTGTCGCATATTGTTATTAATTACCTATTTACGTGAGTTAAATGTCTGATGAAAAGTAACTGAAACTATGCCGGTATTAAAAGTGTGGACATTCTAATTTATTTTATTTGTATGTATAAGCCGCTTATTCACCATGATATCACACCATCCATTGTTCGCCTATTTTCTAGTAGGTATACCTAACTTAATTTTGTACGATTTACGCACATTGCCAACAGAACAATAGAATATTGTGCATACCTAAAATATTTTAAAAGCAATCAGACATTCATATACATATAGGAACCTTTTCTTGAGCTTGCTTATCAATTTTATCTATTAATCCTACTTGACTAGGGTTCCACGTTCGAATAATCATCGTCAAGTGCTTAATATACAACTTTTATAAATGTATATATTGAAAATTCTCAGCAACGAAACTCGATAAATCCTAATATTTATAACGCTCTACCAAAAAATGTAACTTCCCTGTGACGTATGCGTTAGAACCTTGGATAGAATTAGGTTCCTATGTCTAAATATTTTAGATAAATTTTCTATTCTCAACATGGCATAAAGTCTGTATAATTATAGTACGGCATGACTTTGTATACCTGTGTAATCATATAACTACTACAATTAAACATTTAGTTTTAATTTTAAGTGATCTACACAGATTAAATAATTCTTAAATCTTAATTTATGATGAATAATTTGAATGATACCTAGAAGAGGTAGATAAATATGTTGTATTATGAATAAATGTCGTTAGCGTTCAATGCGGCTTTCAACGATCGATGAAAACGTTCCATTAGGCCGTTTGCCCGATGGTATGACAAGGAGTAAAGTCTAGGTATGACGGAATCTATACGTTTGACTGAGTGTTAGAAAAAGCTCGGATTCGAGTTGCCTTATTTGGTCCATAATAACGATATCTGGAACTCCAAAACGTGAAAACCATTGTGATACCAGTCCGAATTCTCTCCATAACGGCGTGTGATGTCATATTCGGGAGAAAATGTGCTTAAGGTCTGCAACGTGTGTATCTGTCGACGGCCGTCAAGAATCACGATGAATAATAAACACACAAATATGAAATTCGCAATAAATGTAGGTGGTTTGTAAATGAAAAGTTAATGTGATTAATGACCACTTCGAGTAATCCAGAAAGAATGGTTGTTTTTCATCACTTTTAGTTAGTGAATTTTGACAATTCGAATACACCTACCTATTTACTGCCTTGAATATTTATTTTATCTTAGTAAACATTTCTGAAAATACAGCTATTGCAAAAGTAGTGTCATTTGTGATTTTGTGACTACCACTGTGCTCTATCTTAATATTTGTATCATCTATAATAACTAAGTACTAAGAATTATATAATAAGTAATAATTAGGAGTAGAGTTTACATTTTAATTTTCAATTAATTTGAATTAGCTATTCAAGAAACTTTTTTAGTTTTTATACATAAAAATAGGTTTAATCTGCAGTTTGTTGAAAAATACAGGAAAATTGTTTTTTTATATAAATAGTTATACTTGGACTATCTTCGGACTTATTAACCATAGGTACTTTGAGATCATATCTATACTGTATGAACAAATTTTAATATTCATAGTAATTATATTATAAAAGTGATGAAATACAAATCAAATGAGTTATCGATGTTAAATGCCTATTAAAATAATTATTTTTATGATTATTGCTTTTATTTATTGTTGTTTCTTTTCTATAATGTCTATAGATTATTAGTCTATACTCTGAGTCTACTATTCTTAGAAGCGTTCGTCTTGTCGCTTAGTCGTTGACCGTTGTGCTGATAACAAACCTCAACCACTTGGTGACAGTCTCGTTGAATTTTATATTATTGACAAAGTAAGCCACAATGTTTTGGAGACGACTTAACTTGGGATTTGTATAATTCTAAATATACAGCTCAATATAATATAAGACACGAAAATCTTTTTTATACATTTAATTGTAACTTTTTTAATAATAAATATTTCAAAAAATTCTGATGAGATTTTCTTTTAAATATTGTTCTCTATAAACATCAAAGGTATTTTTACTCCAAAACCACAATGACATTTCGTTTTTTTATTCTGGACATGTTTTCACCACAGAAAATGAGCGGTGTAACGTCCTTCATCGTTACAGAAAATGTCTTCCTTATCGTATATAATTTGGTTTCTTAACTATGAATATAGTTTAAGTGGTTCATTTTCGCACGAAACCGGTTTTCCATATAATTTCGTTATCATGTATCAACCATTGTTAATTCTGTCATAGAACCATTTTAAAAATACTTTGAATTAGTGTTTAAAAATGTTTTAATTCGTTTTAAAATTATACTCGAATTGCCTATACCAAACTCCTTAAAAAGCGGGTCATTAAAGTTTGACTTTAGTAAATAAGTTAATGTAAAAATGTTAAGTTATAAGTTAATAACTACTTTTAAAAGTTATCGTATAATATATTCAACTTTAAAAGTTAATAAGAAAATAAATGTAAGTTACTATCAACTCACCTTATAGTAATTAATACCGAATTAATAATTTTTTTTAAAATATTACTTGGATGGTTGTGATTATGATTTTACAACTTTAATTTGCTTAATTAATTAATATTTAACTACTTTGTAAAAAACCTTTTTATTATTTCAACTTGTTCCACTGTATAGAACGTAGAAGTTTAGGCAACTGTAAAAATATTTTATATTATTATAAAATATAAATACATCAATATGCTACAGGATATAAATTAAAACTTAAGGATAGTTGTTTTTTTAAAAAGTTTTATTTTTAATAAAATTCACTTAGAAATAAAATGTTAGTATAGATTTATTTTTACTACTTATTTAACATACCTCTCAGAGGTCCTGAATTAATACTATGTAATTTTGAATTGCGAATGAGAACAATGAAAGGCTTTCTCAAAATATACCTATTGGTATTTCAATTAAGTATACAACATAATAAACAACAATAACCATTTTTTTCAACTTATTTAGGCGTCTAAGGCATATAAATTCAACTATAGCTGGGAACAAGCTAGAAAGAAAAAACATAGGTGTTTTTGTTTATAACTGCTATACATATATTGAAGAATATAATACGTATATTATTATATTATGATTTATAAAATTTTGAATTACAATTACCTATTATGTAATAATTAAAACACTCGATCGAAAAGGACTTAATGTGCTTCAATAGTGCAGGGAACGTGAACTATGAAGTGGATTGCTGCATTAGTCAAATAGTTATTGCGTTAAGACACAAATGACCAAATATGTTTGCCAGTAGGCTGAATTAAAATAACCTTACGAAACTGAGTTAATCGGATTGTCGGCCAGGAAGCGACACGGAGAAATGTGTTGAAGTGGTAGGTACGTTTTTATATTGATTTTTTCTAACGTTTTATTGCAGTAATAATTTATTATTAAAAAGGTCAATACAATATTGTATTTTATACTTTAACATTATGAACACGTCTTATACCAACATCCGAATATTATTGTTTCATTTAAATATTTAACACAACTTTATAATTTAAATATATATTATACCTATACTAATAAATGTAAGACATAAATAATTCAATATAAAAATGCATTACCTAATGGTTAATAATGTAATGTTTGTACTACAGATCGTTAAAATTAAGTAGAGATTTTTAAAAATTAGCTTTATGTTGGTGCACTTACAAAATGAATACCTAACATAAAACACTTCTAAAATGAAATTACGGAATAGTTAAAAATATTTTAGATGCGTAAATGTTTTTATCGGCATTTGACAAAACACTTGCTCATTATTTTTAATTAAATGAGTTATGAATTAAAATATTTTAATTTCGTTTTAAATATTTTGGAATGACGTTAAATTCGATAAGTACATAGGCACTTATACTATAGAGTATAGTGCGTTCATCCCATTATACAAATAAGCAATAATAACCTCTCTAAATATGATTCACAATAATGCTACAACAGTGAATAATAATTGATTAAAATAAGATTGTGAAAATAATTTAATAGGTAAGTAATAATAGCACCTATCTACCAACGTCTAAGTGTATTATTATGTTGAATATTTAAAATTTATTGTAAATGTAATAAAGTTAAAAATAGATTTTGTTCCGAAAATTATATGTGTTTTTTTGCATATAATAAGTTAGTAAGTATATTGTAAGTTCATAATATTTTCTTTTCTTTTAATTTGTTCATGTCGGTGCTCTTATTTACGAAGTCATTACTGTATACTCAGTTTTGAAAAATTATTTATTATAATGTTTATTCATTAATTACCATATAAGTTAAGTAGGTACCTATTGTCTGTACTTTTATAC